GTCAAAACTATCTTTATAATAATAGTATTATATCTGTCTTATACTGGCATTACAAAAGGAATGGTAGGTAAAATTGCCGCTCCTTATGAGGAACCAAGGCATTGGCAAGTAATGGCACTAGTTGGTCTATTTTTCAGTCACAATCCTGCAGTTACAAAAAGAAAAAAGGAGAAAGGAAAAAAAAAAAGATAGTGATATATGTCTATAGTCCCAGCTACCCAGGCAGCTGAGGCAGCCAAACCATCTGAGCCCAAGAGCTCAAGGCCAGGCTGGGCAACACAGTAAGACCCTGACTCTTAAAAAAAATGCCACTTTTTTTGAGACAGAGTCTCACTCTGCTGCCCTGGATAGAGTGCCCTGGGGTCATCATAGCTCACAGCAACCTCAAGCTCTCAGGCTCAAGCAATCTTCTTGCCTCAGTTTCCTGAGTAGCTGGGACAACAAGCACCCACCATAACGCCCAACTAGTTTTTCTATTTTTTATAGAGAAAGGGTCTTACTTGTTGCTCAAGCTGGTCTTGAACTCCTAAGCTCAGGCAATCCACCCACCTCAGCCTCCCAGAGAGCTAGAATTACAGGTGTGAGCCACTGCTTCCAGCCCCCAAATGCCACTTTTATGTAAGATTATCCTTAATGAAGTAGTAAAAATTATCACTGTTATTAAATCCAGACCTTTGGGAACATGACCTTTTTAACAATCTTCATGATAATACAGAAGGTATGCAAAATACAATCAATGACTGTCTTGAGATAAAGCACTTTGCAACTGTTTTAATTTATGAGTTAATCACTCTTTTCAAGGAACATCACATTTACTTGAAAGAATGACTGACAAACTATAGTTCTCAGTTATTTGGAAGCTATTTCCCTGAAAATGGGCAATGGGGGCTTTCATTTCAAGGAAAACAACTGATAGTACCCACTGACAATGATAAAATTTAACCTTTTCAAGTGAAAACTAGAATTTTTAAGAACTTGTATCTGCTACCATGGGCTTAATGGTTTCCAATACTGAAGAAGCTAAAGGGCTAAAAGATGGCTCTTAACAAAGTCACTGTTAGTGAAATGTAAAATAAATTAATATTTAATATTTAATATAATTTAGTCAATCAATACTTTCTAAATGATCAATGAGCAATATTACAAAATCAGGCATGGGTCAAAGATCCAGTCAAAGAGCAAGACACACCTGGGGATTTTGTTATTAGAATACAAAATGTTCATTACTAATATCTGACTGCACACTGCAACTAACCTTTAAGAACTCCACTTGTTGAGCTTTGGTATGGAATCAAAGAACATCCCCAATTATCTGAAAAGGCTATTAAAATGCCATTCTCTTTCATAACTACATATCTGTAAGAGGTCAGATTTTCCACATATACTTCAACCAAAATACCCCAACAGCCTGAGTGAAGGAGTTATCTAGTTATCTTCTGTCATGCCAGATGTTAATGAGATTTACAAAAAATGCAAAATAATGCTACTCTTTATAGGTTTCTCTTTTTTTTGGAAAAATAGTAATTTTTCACCAAAAATATTATTTATATTAACATGCAATGACTTTATCATTTCTTTTTTTTTTTTTTTTTTTGCAGCTTTTGGCCGGGGCTGGGTTGGAACCTGCCACCTCCAGCATAAGGGGTGCTTTTGAGCCACAGACGCCACACTATCATTGCTTCTTTAGATTAATATTTTTGTATTTTCTCAGTTGTAATTTATAACAGAGTAACCTACATGAACAAAGGCTTTCTGGAGTCCACAATAATTTTTAAGAATGTAAGAGTTCTGAGACCAAAATGTTTGAGAACTGCTGATATAGTAGTCTGCAAGTTGGGAAGCATGCATTCTAGTATCAGCTCTGCTCCTCCATAGCTGTATGACATTTGTTCCTCTATTCCTTCCACCAAGAGCTTGGGGCTGAGCGTGGTGGCTCATGTCTGACATCCTAGCACTCTGGGAGGCCAAGGTGGATGGACTGCCTGAGCTCAGGAGTTTGAAAACACCCTGAGTAAGAGTGAGACCCCATCTCTACTAAAATAGCTAGGTGTTGTGTTGGGTGGCTGTAGTTCCAGTTACTTGGGAGGCTGTGACAAGAGGATCACTTGAGCCCAAGAGACTGAGGTTGCTGTGAGTTGTGATGCACAACACAGACTCTGTCTCAAAAAAAAAAAAAATTAAGAGGTTGGAACCAAGTAACTACTAAGGTCCAAGAAAGGTCTGTAATTTTATGTTCCTTACCTTGAAGTTAAAGATTTCATTATAACAATCAGCACTTTTCAGATACCAGGTTATATTCAAAGACTGATCACAAGGTTCTCCATCAACTATAAAAGAAGAAATCTTTATGAATAAAAGATAGTTCCCAAACAAAGCATTCTTTTAAACTACTAACTTACATCCTGTTTATTTCCTGCCCTAAACTGAGATATTCAAAGACCATCCCTTCTCCAAACATAAAGTAATGGAATAATATATGCAAAAGTATAGTTGTTCACAGAAAAAAATAGCAGTTAAGCAGTCTTTAAGCTTTTGAAACTGTGGATCAATTTTCATGCCTTCAAGTTTCAATTTCTGCATGTCTACTGGGAAAAAACTGGGAGTGACAAAGTAGACCTAAGTTAAAACCAGTCTTCCATTACCATTCAAATATTTATTGAGCAGAACACAGTACACAATGGTATAGTGTTAGACCCAACAGAGAAATGGGTGGGAACAAATTATTAAAGACCCTTAAAAGGGCTACATTCTAGTTGTAGAGCCAAGGAATAACCCTAGGGATGTCATAAGGTAATATGTGTGATTGTTAAACAGTGGTATAAATAATAGTCATGCTGAGGCAAAAAACTCAAGGCTTAGACCTTGGAAGATCAAGATTGGATCGAAAGAGTAATGAACAAAAAGCAAGCATGGATGCAAAAGGTAAAAATAAAATAGTAAAAGTAAGATTATTAAAAGTATTAGGTTTTCTCAAAGTGCACTGTAAGAGAACCCTCAAGGAACCTTATGAAATCGTGGAAGCTTCATATAACTCATTAAATACAGTTTGGAATATAGTATTCTAGTAGATCGAGGCATTAGTCTGAAGACTTGGGAGTGTAAATTTGATCGTACGACTGACTAGCTGTCTCACCTGGCAGAAGTCAGTACTACCTTTGATCTTTGATTCCAGCCATGTAAAAGAAAACATACTAAAGACTAACTCCTTACCCTGTGCAAATGTGACACAAATAAACATGATTACATTTAGGAATCTACTTTTAGTTCATTCATAACATAAAGAACAGCCTTTTTATAATCTTCCCTTTGTTTTAAACTGTTTTCTCAACTAATTTTTAAATAACCAACACGCTTTCATAGGGCTAGAATCCTCAAAAATTTGACCTG